AGACTGATTATCGATGTTTGTATCTATTTATACTTGTTCTTACCATAAAACTTGCCATTAGTCTATACCATCGACTTCGTTCTCTTGACTATGCAGTTTTTGTGTTTCTTTCAGCATCTTGATTCTAATCTGCAAGCTGCTTTCTACTTTCTGGTTTCTTGATCAGCGAGCCAAAACGACCCGAACCAAACTCGAACCAAGTTTTGCAAAGAGAAAACGAACGAACCAAAATGTAGAGTAGAAAATGATTGATTAGACTACAATCGATGTTGTAAAAATGTGATATCGTCATGAAAGATAAAAATAGGTTTGATTGAGTGGTTGCATACTTAATTTTAATCTTCGTGTAATACAGTTGTTGTTTTCTCTTTTCATAACAAGTCGACTATTTGTATCTGTCATCGGTCAGTTAAAAATGTTATTATTCTTTGATTTACTTTTCTTTAATTTTCACCATTGTTCGATACTGTAACAAGTAGATGCTTGAGAAAAATTGTTTGAGATATCATCCCTTCATCTAATTGAAAACTATATTATCGTACAAGTAGTCTGACCCGTTATCATTTGCTTTTCACTCATATTTCGTGGCTTATTGTGTCTTCATGTTCTTATAAGCTATTTGATTACACTTATCATTATAAATGGCTTCCAGTAATTCTTCAATTTATCATTTGTCAGTTCAATTTTCATTATCACAGCCTATCTAGATTTGCCTTGTTCAAATTTTATCCCGAATTAGAGATAAAAAATTAAACGAGTAGAATCGAACCGGACTCAAACCAGTAAAACCTGATGTATCTCGATCTCTGATCGCTACAGCTTTTAGAGGACAATACACAGGAGAAAAATACGATTAATACTTAGTTCGGATCAATGTCATTTGTTGTGCTTGATGAGCGCTCTCATCATCAATGCTGTATACGCTCAGTATATAAAACAGACGATACATATTGCTTTACAAACGTCAAAAGATTCAACATGTATTTTTTAAGTAATATAAAAATAAATATGTGTGAAGTAATATAATAAAGACTTTATATATAATCAAAAACTTTTGATTAATAATATCATTTTTCTTCTTTTTAACAACTAATGACATGGGTCTAACTGTTTTCTCTATTTAGAGAATCAACTTTTCATCATTTACACTGAACAACATAACAAAAAATATAAATTATTTTATTATTTAGGTCTAACCAAAAGTTCCCATATTATTAAAAAAAAAAATAAAGACAAAGAGAAAGGTCGAGTTTTATTTTATTAAATGTTCAAAATAGTCACCATGATTATTTATACAAAGTTCCATCCTTTCTAATAGTTTGTCAAAAGTTTTTTTAAATCTTCTTTCGGAATTTTTTTCATCACCTTGGATACCGCACAAGCCAATGATTTTTCATCTGGTTGATCAGTTAAATTACGTTTGATGTTATTATTTAGCCAATAATCACATGGTGCAAGGTCAGATGAATATGGTGGATGCGACATTATAATAATACCTTCTTCTGTTAAATAATTAATAACATCTGAATGAATATGGGGTCGAGCATTGTCTTGGAGCAATTTTATACCTTTTGTACCTGCTGACTTTCTTTGTTTTCATAATTCCTTCGCGACAGGCTTGAGGCAATTTTCAATATAATAGTTGTGATCTATAGTCTTGCCTTCGTCAACAGCATGTATAAGAACAGGGCCATTTGATTTAAAGAAAATAGAAAATAAATGTTTTGGTTCAAATTTATCTCGACGAACAATAGTAGTTGGTGATTCATCTTCGCCAACCCAGCTTGCATTTGTTGAGTTGCAATGAATCTGCCTGTGGTAAATCCACGTCTCATCACCTGTTATAATATCACATAATCGCCAAGAACCATCACGGAATTTCGCCAAACTTTCACGACAAAGTTTAGCACGTTCTTGCTTTTGTTCATCAGTCAGTTGATGGGGTACCCAACGTGATGTAATTTTTTTCATCTTGAGACAATTGTGGATAATTCGTTCTATTGTACCATGAGAGAGAAATGTCTCAGCTACAATATCATCATAAGTTGAATGTAGATCATTGTTGATAACCTCTCGAACTACTTCAATATTTTCATCTGTCAGCTCGGATACTGGACGACCAGATCGAGGATCATCATTGACATCTTCTCTTCCTTCACGAAAACGCTTTGCCCATCCTGCAACTGTTGGATATGATGGAGCCTTAGATCCCAAAGCTGTTGCAAGTTCTTCGTGAATCGTCTTTGGATTTATCCCCAAAATAGTTCGAATTTTTATATAATATCGATTGTATTCATTATCCATTTTTGAAAATTTTTTTTAGTTCGAATTAAAGTTTATCGAAAAAAATACTGTAACTAAGTCCAAAAGAGATTTACTATATATACTATTATAGATAAGACATTCCACTATTTATCCATGCACAACATTCTTCGATATTAATTGGTTTATAAAATTGCCAATAGGGTGTGGGTGTGGATGTGGGTGCAGTTGAAAAGAATACGCACACCCACACCCACACCCACACCAGAGATGTGCGGGGCGCGTTACGTAATGCCCCGTACGAACCCGTACGCCCCGTAGTATGGGTCTGAAAATGGAAACGTAATATTTGAATAACGTATTCACATATTATGTTTCCATTTTCAGACCCATACTACGGGGCGTACGGGGCATTACGTAACGCGCCCCGCACATCTCTGACCCACACCCTTCTTTTTATCTTCGTTTAATCCCAGGAAAAAGATTATTAAAAAGTGCATTTTGAACAAATTCAAATCCACTCAAAATTAAGATTGCATTCATCAACTCTACTATTAACATTGCACCTTTCAAATCGACTTGCACCAACCCGCTAGAAAGTTAGAGTCGACATTAAGATATATATATATATATATATACATGTATATATGAGCTTTCGAGTAGCTAAGTAGAGTTTCATCAATGACTTCTTTCAGAACTGTTGATTACTGGCGAGAGTGGATCTTCTTTATGAAAATTCACTACATGAATTCCATTAGAAATAAGATTTCAGAGAATTGTTGAAAAATGACAAAGCATCTTTAACCGATATTGGATCGAACCATCACTCTCTGATTTAATAATTGAAATCGACAATTTTGTCCGATCGAAAGCAAGACGGAGGCGTGCTTCGAAGAAGGAGTGTGAATATGATGAAACAAATTACAGACGTGTTACCATGTTGTTCCTAAGCACCATGATCAACGTAGAGTCTTCCTGGATTAAGTATTTTGTTTTACTCATACTTATCAATTTGTGTACATCGCAACCTGAGTATTAGAAAGTTTCGATTTTTGCATTGTGGCAATTATATTTTACCTATGGTCGGAAAGGCACGAATATGTGCGTCTATCTTGATGTGAGAAATATAATATTGTAGCTACAAATCATAATATGGATGTGAGCATGAAAACAAATCCGTTAGATAACCTTTGCTTCATGAAATTGTGTTGGGTATGAAAACAAAAAAAAAGATGAAAGCTTTGCCGCATGAGGTGGACGGTATAAATGATCGTCCTGGATAGTGTGGGAGTTAAAACCAGTCGAGTTACAACTTTCGGGTTATAACTGATCAACTTTTTGATCAAAAAGTTGATTGAGTTATAATTATCAAACCTAAGTGTTGCCATAAAACCTTTTATAATTGAATAGATTCAAGTCATATTGCTATCACTGGAAAAATCATATAGTGGATGAATTACTGATGCATTCTGAAGTTTATTTTTCCACATAGCCCTTGTCAATCAAAACATTTTATTTCAATCAATAGAAATTTGAGCTTAAGAAAAAAATATTGTAGATATAATTTAAAATTTATTAGAAAAGCTTATTAGCGCAGTCCTATTGGACTGAAATGTGGAACTCACATCTCTCCGTAATCTGCATTATTTTTTAAATTTGAGGCATGGTTTATGTTGTTAAAACAATTTTCAATATTGAACTCTTTTTTTATTCTATTGCTAAAGTCTGTAATGAGGATGGGTGGGATCAAAACTCTCACCTTAAAACTTACACTCACTATTTTCTTCAAAAATATATGTGAGTTCCACAAAAATTTCATTATATAATTTGAACGATTAGCATCGCAATATGAAATGAATAGAAGAAAAAAGAAGACAATGGTCATTGAATCAATCATATACCCATAGTAGCTGTTAATAGTTCTTGTACGTCATAATCTTCGTTTGAGATTTTGTCATTTTTTGCGTCTTCGGGTGATCATTATCTTCAGTAGTTATTAATTGAATTTCTTCAATAAAATCAAGGTCAATTAAGATTTCTTGAAAACCTCGATCGTTCGTATTTAACATATAATCGACTTCCAAACTATCCTCATCATCGAAAGATTGCTCTTCGTTTATATTTTCTGCTTCATATTTTGTACGTAAAATATTATGGTTATCACTAACACATTGTATAAAATCAGCAGTATTACCCAAAGAATAACTTGATCCATCAATAACACCAGCATTTTGTTTTGACTCATCAACTGAATCTAGCATTTCTTCTAAAGAATCAGTATCCATAACTTCATCAGCATGACTCGATCCATTTCTGTAAAATTTATGTATTCTAGCAATCACTTCGATTGTAAATTGATTAAGATAATTTCGACGTTTAGTGTGATGCCAGTCTAGAATAGAAAACAACCGTTGGGCATCACCGAATGAATTATAATCGAAAAAAGACGTAATGCTACGTCTGATAATGAGTTTTGTTTTCTTTTTTTAGCCGGTGATGGCGTAATGGTTCTATACATCTGATTGTTAGTCAGACAGCAGAAGGTTCGATCCCTTCCAGCAGCACGGTGTCTTCGGTGTCAAGATATACGATATCGAAAGAATAAACAAAGGAAGAACAGCAATGCATGCCAACCTTGTCATCACTGCCTCGATTTCGATTTTCGTTCTGTTCGTTTTTGCTTCCTCGTCATTCCTTGTTTGTTTGTTATCGTAATCTTGTCCGTAGACTCCAATGCTTCATAAGCGTCCACAAAAAGTTATACAAAATTCACAAAAAAAATGTATGGATGTCACGAATAAAATTCAGCATAATTTAAAAAAAAATGAATTTTTGTGTATTCTCGTTAATTATGGACCACCAAGAAGCTGGCGTACCATATATTGATAAAATAAAAAGAGTTAAAACTAAGAACTAATATTGCTTACCTTGTGTGAAATGAAGTGCTTAAGGTCCACTTTTAATTTCAAATCTTTGCAATACAATGATTACATTTTTTGTCGTTACTAAGTTATTATCAATTTTTTTGCTGTATTCAGCGATGGCATGATACACGGCCGATAGACCGCCGGCGGGCATTCCACTATCACGATACTTTGGATGAAGATAATACGCACTTAGATAAAGATCATTCTGGAACTCCTTTAACCGAATATCAACCACCTTGCTAACAAATCGACCGAAAATTCGAATTTCAGCATTATCAACATACTGATTTGTTGTAAAACGAAGATATGATAAAATTAAATAGCAATCTGTCAATGTAATAGAAGCAGATTGAATAATTGACTTTGCATAAGCTAATGGCTTCATAATTTTATAAAAATTTCCAATATCATGAAAAAATGAACGGTTATTTATAATATTTATGATTTTGATCGATACTATTGATTTATCAGCAGCGACAAGCACTTCTAGTAGTACTCAAAGAACTATAAATGAATGCAAGCATTCAGACACACTCGACCATCTAGGAGTTACAATTGTATGAAGAGTTTCTGTTTTGATCTTGATTCGTTGAGCTTCTTCTTTCAGCTTCGCTTTAAAAGCGTGCGAATGATTACAAAAAGACGTAATTGTTATTACTTTTTGTATAACATTTTTAGCATAGACATGCTTGAGTACATCACCTAAACAGAAATAAAAAATACTCCAGCATATTGTGTTAGGAAAAAATCATTGTAAGAAAATAAGTCTTTAACAGAATATTTCTAATCTTCCTTAATCACAATAAACAAGGAAAATAGTTCGACATCTAACGCTGAAACATTTAAAGTTATGGATTAAACTATTAAGATTCTAGTTTGATTTCAAAAATAGAATAGAATCGTTTCATTTTACTATAAACCAAGGTCGAAAGCATCTGAAATGGTTCTTTTTATGCTTTAATAATTAGATTATATTCAATATATCTAGTGAGATGAAAAACTAGTCTTACCAGAAATTAAATTGATCGTATGTGCAAAGCATCGTAATTCGATGATATGTTGATTTTTTGGTTTAGAAATAAACATTGCACGCATTTTTTGAATTGTATTCAGGTTATCGGTTACAATTGCACGTACTTTTGATGTTATATTAATATTTACAGAAACCCTTGCAAGAACTGATTCTAACCGGTTGACTAAGAAGTCTGCGGTATGACCATACGTACTAACATCGATAAGAGATAAGACAATAGCCTTACGGCTATCTGTAATAACGTTCTATTCATACAATGAACGACGACATCGATCACTCCCATCATCAATGTTCAATGTAAGATGGGCGACTTCTTCCATCAATGATTCGTTTTTTTCTCGATGTAAACGATTTCTTGTTTAACAACTTCATGTATTAATTTTCTGCGACCAGGTAAATCATATGATGGATTGCTTTTTCTTGATAAATTCAATAAAAAAGCTATTATTGACTGTTCTAAATGAAACACCGTTCATAAAAGTAGCACGCAACAAATATCGATCAATATTTTGTTGTTCTCTATTAGAAATAATTCGAGAAGTAAATCTATCCCTCGTAAATTGTTTTCGAGTCGGAGGATCAATTGATGCCACCTAGAGAAAATAGTAAAATGAAATAAAAATAATAATGAAACGATTATACCTCTGTGATTCGTTTGCTATTTCTTCCTGGTGACAATTTTTGTTCCAGTTCACACATTTTCATAATTATCTCTTTATGTGCACTTGGATCATAATTAACAACTTCATCACATTGATGTGTAATATGAGAATACATCATACTAAGTTTTGCAACATTTAAGCACCATAAACAACATTTACACTGTGCTTTTCGATGAACTGTTGTTTTTGCAGGACCCATATCATTAAAATGTGACCATATTAAATCACGCTGACGGTCAACATGCTTTTGATGAATCAAATGAAATTGTCCAGGAGAGTGATTCCTACTATCGAATCCGATACGATCCGGCAGGAGTGCGATCGGATTTTAAGTGTAAATCTATAAAACCAACGATTTCCTATGGGATTCCGGGTCTTGGAACGACACTCGGTTCCTTCGTGTTGGAATCCGACAATATCCTACTTTAGGATCCGATGAAGTAAAAAAAGGTCTAAGACTACCTCTGATATACACATATGACATCAAATACTACTTGTTTATTTTTCTAAATTTTTCTGTCGGATCCGAAAGCAATTCCGTGACCTGGAATCTCATCGGATTTTGTCGGTTAGTAGGATCCTATGAGGTCTGATCGGATTCGTTATCGGATTCATTCTACTGGGTGAAGAAGAACAATCAGTAATAACTTCACTTGAAGAAGTTTCTGAATCCGAAGGTGATAACGGGTGTGTCACCTGGTTAGATATTATATTAACAAAATTGAAATGATATCGTAAATAAATACGGAATATTAACTATGCCGATGATAAGAAGAGCAAGAAAATGAACTAAACGAAATTTTATCGACTCTTATTCTTTTCTTTTTTTTCTACAAACACGATGATAAAGAAGAACGATTATATTTTCTGCATTACCTGTTTCACTCTCGCTCTCTCTTTCGTTCTTTCAAATTAGTATTAGTACAAAAAGTGAAAACAATATAATCGACAGAATAATCGAAAATTAAAACACTTCTTCTAATCGATCACACTCACGCTTGTTCGTAGTATGATATCGGCTATACAGCTCTCAGACTGAATATGAACTAAATAATAGCCGACGATAAATTTCGTGTGCACGTCTGATGAGATAACAACTAGAAAATATGCGCTTAAAATCAAAGTGCAAAAGTAAACTGAACTTAAACCAGTGTTAAAAATGATTTTTTAAATCGAGGAACAATACATTTACTTTCATATCAATTTGGGAATGGAAAGAAATTCAATTTTACATAAAAATAGTTTTTCAGCTTTAAAAAGCTTTTTAAGTTTTTCTATATTTTGTTCAATGATAATAGAAAGGCTGATCTGCGTACTACGTATCCACATCCATACTTTCAGCTAATGTGGCTATCCATAGGATTTTACTCAGTTATCGTCTGTCGAAATACCTTCAGTACAGTTTGCTCAACATAAGGACTTCTGGAAATAGCAGAAAAGAAAGCTCATAAACGATTCTCCACATGATTGAGGAATAAGCGTAGATCTAATCATAGCTTTATTTTTCGAGCTTCTGTATTTGGGCCAAATATATTTTTTTCTCCTCTTGTATTCTAGTTACAAAATTTACAAGATCAACATCGAAAAAAATCTGTTAGTTATAACTCGGGTTGATTGTTATAACCATTTTAACGTTTTCCCAATTTTCTCAACTATCAACTTTTTCAAAAATATTTTTAACTCCTATACTGGTCCTGGGCCTCTATGATTGCCAGAGGAAATAACTCATATCGGTTATCGCTTTCTTTCTTCCCAAGGATCAAACTTTTTGATCTAGCACTTGTGAGTGAGGCACAACAAGTGAACCATTTCCTATGTACGCACTTCTTTATAGCACGAGAAGGTAATGTATTTACACAGAATGCGCTTGTGTAGTTGCTTTCATTTGCGTAGAAAAAGAAGATGAATTTTTTCTTGTTGTGACACTTTTTTTCCTTCTTAACTTGCAGAAAAAAACAGCAGACAACAACAACTCAAATACAGTTATGCTGTAGTATTCTCGATGCTTTCACCTAAGTAAAGTTTTGAGATACTACTCTAAAGAGTACTAAACAACAATGCTGATGGATATTCTGAAATATTTTTTATTTTTTAACATTTGAAAAAGCGAAATCGACGAATAAAAACTGCTGAAAAAAATTCAATATTTCTATCGAATCTGAATAAAGAATGTGTGCTTTCATGATACATTATACCATCTACCTCTTCTAGTCATCAATACAGTAATGTTTTTTTTGGTACAAAAGAAAATACCAATCTTCCAGGCCCACAGCCAACAGTCTTGTCAATTCGATAATGAATATCTCAAACAACTTTCATTGTCACTTACATATAAGAAATTCCTTAGGCCACTGATCGTTGGAAATGAGGAATGGGTGAAGGTGAGTATGAGTGGGATTATGTGAGCATCTCTTCTTCATTCACCATCACCCTAACCCTCCGGTCCAAAACGATCATTCATGCCGTCCACCTCATGCAGCATAGCATTCATCTTTTTTTTGTTTTCATACCCAACATAATTTCATGAAGCAAAGGTTATCTAACGGATTTGTTTTCTGGCGCACATCCATATTATGATTTGTAGTTGCACTATTATATTTCTCACATGAAGATAGACATAGATATTCTTGCCTTTCCAATCATAGATAAAAAATAATTGCAGCAATGCAAAAATCCAAACTTTCCTATGCTCAGATTACGATGTACATAAATTGATAAGTATGAGCGAAATAAAAAAACTGTGTAGGAGCATCGACTCTTTCAATAAAGGTCAAGTCGCAAGCTACTATAAATTACCACTTTTTTCGCATATAACAATCTATTATATTCTCACAGGTAAGGTTTTTCTCTAGTCTAAAAGCATCGCTAGTGCATGTTTTTGAATTAAAGTATTTTTAAGGAATAACTATGCAATAATCGAAGTATTTACCAACAAATTGCCAAATACTCAAAAACAATTTGCTAAATACTTGTTGCGTACCGTGGATGCGGACTACGTTACACTTTATTTTTTGTCACTCGAAAAGTAGACAATTGGCAAACAACAACAGAGCAAAAGAGTAGCACGAGAAGCGATAGAGGAACGCTATGCGTACATATTTCTACGTGCATATAAGAGGCGGACCTCAAGAAGAAACAATGAATATAGATTTCGACTGCTCTCCCACACACTACTATCCATTTCAAAAGAGAATGGAGTTGGCTGTAAGTTGAATAATTCTGGATGGAAAGTAGCTAGAGACCTGCGGTTTTCGTCATTAGAAAAATAATGAAATTTTTTATTAAATAGTTTAAAAATTTGATTGGTCGACAATTGATTAATCAGGTGAGTTTTTGCTTGACATTATGGGGATTGGGTAGTGCAAAAAATTCCCGAGTGGATTTTAAATTTTAATGTGTTCATTTGAAAGATAAAATTGTTCTCCATTGATCTACACAATGCCTAGCTCTTTAGTTTGTGCTGTTCAGAAGCTGCAAGTATTTTTCTGAGAGCCCCGATTCCAGTCAGTTGACTTTGGGCCAATCCAAAGAACCTTGAAACACAAGTAATCGATCATGCTGACTCGAACGGTGATGTTTATCTTCAGTTTCGGAGCGAATTAATACGCTAAGTTAGAAATTTTTGAAATATCGACTCAATACGTCACATGGCGCTTCTTTGCGTCCGAATATTAAAACTTCAGAAAGATTCAATTTAATGAT